GTTCAGCAATAACTTCGGTTTACTTAAATCAGTTATTAAACCGGAATCTAATCCTAGGTGGTTTTCACGTGGCAATTTATGTTTTAACTTTAAATCCACGTATGCCAAATTAAACGGATATTTGGCATAAATTGTTGTCCGATACATAATCTTATGTATTAGATCACAATTGTCCAACACAAAAAATACTCAAAGTACGCACATGCGTATATTATACACGTATGGAGAGGGTGAAACCTTTCCACGAGATTCCATGGCTTAATTTAAACGTAACACTCCAAAAGAGGTTATAATTATCAATCGAGTGGAACGGGGTCGAAGATCAGAGACTGGACACGGTCGGTGGTCTTTGCCTTGTCAGGGGAACCATGGCCATCTCCGTACTGATACATGCACTGTGCCATCCGTCCCAGATCAAGGGCTGTCCGAAGGAAACGGCGATCGAGCGGAGAACTCCGCTCCATTATCTTTTCGTTCATCACGTCCCACTCATCGCTGATCACTCCCATGATCATGTGCTCACGTGCCTCCTCCGCCGAAGCCCCCGTCTCATGCATGTAGCACTGCATGGATTTCAGTACGTCCCCTCTTGCCAGCTCATCCTACAAACACGTTTTCATGCATCAATAGAGATCGTTAAATTATTCGATTAGGGTTCGAAATGTGCTGAAACATTAGTTCAAGAACAGAGGAGCTGACTAACCGGTGAAGTTCCCAAATCATTTGCGACACGGAGGACGATGGAGGAGGATCGGACGATAGGGTCACTGTTTTCGGAGATAGCCTCTAACGTTTCTTTGGAGATCGGTTCGGACAATATGCAGTAAGAGTGAATCAATATAACAGGTGCGCCAACTGAGATCCAAGCGTTTTCAATGTACTCTTTGAACCGAGGTTTGTATCCTTCTCTATACCACTTCGCTTCTTTTATATATGCGCCCACCAAGTCGGCCCACTGAGATTAGAAATTGTTAGAAACATTAGAACGATATTATAATTCCATCCGCTTTCAAAGATTTCCTTGTGTATATGTTTGCTATGTATTATTTTTGAAGAATGTCCAACAAAATTACGAGAAAATTAATCCTACAACTTCACTTACAGCCTTCTTAAGGTAAGGGATGACATTGAACTTTTTATCTCTAAGAATGTCGTGTCCGATCCGATTGATCTCGTTGTACAACACGAGAAAACACAACCTCATATATTCCGGAAGTTTGTCAAGAAGATTCACGTCCCATCTGCATCAACACATTGATGTCAGCAGATACGATAAATAAAATATCTCTGATAATCAAAAAAACAAAAAACACACATACTTTTGGATAACCTCGGTGAAGAGATGAAGTTCTTCGATTGTGCCGTAAACATCGTAGATATCGTCAATGGTTGTAATTAACGCGTAAACCATGGTTTGCTTTACCCGATGGTACGCAAATTCAGGCTCATGGAATAATTCTACGTTCCAAAAATAATTTTCAAGAATTCTATCTCTCGCGAATTGAAGTCGTTTGAGTCCCGTGCCGCTCCACCATCTTCATAGCATAAAAACAGAAAAAAAGGAGAAAAAGAAATTACAGAGTATATAGAAATTAAATTACCATGTCACTAACGAATAACATGTTTTACTTATAAACTCGAAAACCCTTACATAAAATCCGAACAGAAATTTAAACGAGAAATATCACGAGATATTATTAGCGATGTTGTACGGACGACTAATTGAGCTTTTTAGCATATATAAACTTACCTGAAAACATCTTTGAGGCTTTCTTGGTGAGAAGCCTGTGTAATGTTGAAATCAAGCTTGGCGAATTCTAGTAAAAGAGGGTTCAGGTCCTTTGTCTTTTCGTAGACATCCATGTACCATCTTGCTTCTAGTCTCGGTGTTCTCCAGTGGTATGGCATCTCCAATGATCGGAACACCATCTCGTTATTATATGATTCTCTCTCATTATTTTTTTCGCTTTCGATAAAAAAATCTCTTAGTCTCTTCATCGAATAAGATCGAATTTCCTTCAGTTTAGTATCTGATTTTGTCGATAAATACGAAGCTTCGTATAGAGAGAGTAGACCTTTGACACCGCTGTCTGAACCATCTACGAATGTCTCATACTCCTTCTCGTTCTTGATAAAACCAAAAACATCTGCATTTATAGCTTATTACATATTAGTATCCGGATACCAATGATAAATTGAAATAAATAGTTTGCAGATAGAAAAAGTTTAGCAAAGATTATTCGAAATTTAGTTACCATAGAAGGGTTGCTATTGCTAGTCAACATAACGTATACTGTGAAGGATGTTTATGTCACGATTTACCTTGTGAGACACTAAAACCATGTTGTCTAAGGAGACGAAATTCGAGCGCAATCGAGTATAAGTCTTCAGTTTTCTTGCTCATGCCATTGTTTCCTTGTCTTTTCGCATGAATTTCCATTAAAATGCTTTTGATTTCGTGATCGAAATGGTGAGAAAGACCGAGCCTTTGTACAGCATCGATGAGTTCGAGCTGTTTGAGAGGACCTTCAGTTTCGTATAGCATCTTCCTCACGTCTTCCTTCAATAACTTAGCCCTCTCTTGGATTTCGTTTTGTTTCTACGTTTCACAATTAATGGATCACATCATTATTATATTGCAAATCCTTTTTTTTTTTATAAAAATTGCAAATATTTGTTTCGTTTGCAGATTTTGAATCATGCCCTTAAACCTTCAAATATAATTCAATATCAGCACTGCAGTATATATGGAGTTCTTTAATATTCATACTTTTTTTTGGTAAGTCTTTAATACTCATACTTAGTACGTAGTACTAATATTTGTTACGTAATAATAATATTGCGCGTTTTCCGTTACTATATATATATATATAAGAATTTTATCTTACAATAATATATATATATATATATATATATATATATAATTTAGATGCGGTTGGCATTTTTTTTTTTTTTTAAAAAGAGGG